AGCTCGTCTATTCGAATTGGTTGTTCAATTAAATTCACATCTGAATCGGATTTCTCAATGTATATTCCGAATCAGAAAGTTCAAATACTTGGGAATTAATTGGATATTATTAGCATAACTCCTTCTGAATTACGGTAACAGTGAAATCAATTAAATATAAAGTTCACACTCTCAGTCTTTTGATATTTCTCTAAATACAGCATTGCGTTGAATTTCATAATAATTCTCAAAATGACCGAAAATTTTGGGATATATTCTTCTTATATTAATTTGAGATATCGAAGAAATATTTCTTTAGAAATTGATAAGAAACATTTGTTTGATCATAGCATCACCAAGCTGTGAATGCTTGATGTTTCTATGATTTGAAATTGGCATGAATTTTTTTTATTATTCGCTCAAAAATCATGTGCATATGCGTTCATTTATTCATATATGTGTGCGTATAAACTGACACTTGATTTCGTCATAAATATTTTGCACAATTGACCCTGAAATACGGAAGATTTTATTGGCATGTAGATAAAAACAGAGAGTGACTGAGATTGAATGCTCGCTTAACTCTTGATGAAACATAGAACAGAATATCTTTATTTTAGAGGAAACAAATTTCTTACAAATGGTAGGAGTTTGACGAATCATTCTTCAATCATAATCATAATCAAATATATTAAATTGAATTAAACTCTTGGCTTAATGTTTCACGATTATATTTAACAATATGAATTTGTAAACATGTTTCGAGCGTGAGCTCATTTTCAAGACTAAAATGCATTAAGGAACGAACAACAAATTTATATCTATACAATGGATGTAAGGAGGGAGGATAATCGAAAATTTACCTGTTCATTTTAGATGTCTTCTTTTTTCTTCCAAGAACTGCATATTTCAATGCCCTCCAAAAGGTCTAAACGTTTCCCTTTATTACCGGCGTGTAAGCACTTGATTTTCTCAAAGTCTATAAAGTGGTTAGAGTTAATACAATGTTCTGCGAATCCGGTTTTATTAACATTGCACAAAATCGACCTTTTATGCCCGTTAACCCGAGTTTTGGTTTTTCTACCTGTTTGGCCGATATAAAACGCTGGACATTCAATAGAAAAAATTTTATAAATCTCACTTTTGTCTTCAACATTTATCTTTTCTTTATTATTCACTGAAAGTGATTTAATATTTATTTTGTAAGTACAAATTGTTTTTATCTCTTTTTTCTTCAATCTTTCGTAACTCAGCGAAAAAATTGAAAAAAGAGATAAAAACAAGTTGTACGAACAATAGAAATATTGAGTAACTTTCAGTGAATAATAAAAGATAAATGTTTGAGACAAAAGTGAGATTTTAAAATTTTTTTGTAATGAATGTCCAGCGTTTCATATCGGCCGAACAGATAGAAAAATAAAAACTCGGGTTGACGAACATAAAAGGTCGATTTTGTACAATGTTGATAAAACAGGATTCTCAGAACATTGTATAAACTCTAACCACTTTATAGACTTTGAGAAAACCAAGTGCTTACACGCAGGTAATGTAGGGAAACGTTTAGACCTTTTGGAGGCAATTGAAATATGCAGTTCTTGGAAGAAAAAGAAGACATCGTAAATGAATACTTAGATTTTCAATTATCCTCCCTCCTTACATCCATTGTATAGATATAAATTTGTTGTTCGTTCCTTACTGTATTTTAGTCTTGAAAATGAGCTCACTCTCGAAACATGTTGCTAAATTTATATTGTTGAATATAATCGTGAAACATTAAGCCAAGAGTTGAATTCAATTTATAAAAAACCGATAGTATTTATTCTCAGCAATTTCTAGTCAAGAATGTGAAAAGAATATGGTTGAAGATTGAAGTCATTGTTTCTTAGATTGAAGTTAAACGTGACAAAACTATCGAATTCGGAACTGTGGGAGTTAACAAACTTTGATTGAATTATAAATTTATTTTCACATACATATATATTTATATATGTATATTTATATATGTATTGTTATATCATTATTATGAATCATCAGTCCATATTCAAGCTATCAATCAAGAATCGATGACTTTCAAAACACCCATAGGTGCTATACCAGAATGTTGGGAATAGTTCTCAGTGAAAATTCACGTGAGCTTCCTCTATCGGAGAAAAAACGTATACACTCTCCCTAGCGTTCTAGATTCCTACTCATGACAACAGTAGCGCGAGTGTAAGGCTTCGCAGAAATTTCTTTCGAAAACTACAGAAAACTGTCCCCAATGTGTAAGAATAGTCCCATGTCTAATCGCTCCAGATCACGCCCCGGTGGGCAAAAGTATAGCTAGTTTCAAGATTCACAAATCATTTATACTAGTGAAAACTGAGACTCTCAATCGAAATATACAAATGTTTTAAATAAACCTCTCATGGAGCTGTCTACACAAATGTTGTCAATGAGGACGAATCTCATCATTCTGGTATAGGACCTATGGGCGTTTTGAAAGTCATCGATTCTTGATTGATAGAATAAATATGGATCGATGACTCATAATGATGATGAAAGAATTGTATTATATTATCATTGAACAAGATCGATCAATTTCTCTCTCATTCCCTCTCGAATGTGATGGGTTCGTTCTCGTTGATAACATTTGTGTAGAGAGGTTTATTTGAAATATTTCGATTAAAAGTATCAGTATTTACTACATACAATTACTATATACAATTGTTGTGGGTTATAGACAAAATAAGAGGCCTCTATGAAAGAGATATTCATACAATTGTACTGATTAAAATTATGATTGACAACTTACGGCTAACTGGGTATAAAAGGTATGGCCAAAAACCATCAAACAGGAATGTGTTTCTTAAAAATAAGTTGAATTTAATTATAGATGTAAAAATATTCTTATGTACCAACTAAAAACAATGATAGGTAAATAATAGAATAGAAATGACAGGAGCGCAGAGAAACATTGACACTGAAAAACGACACAGAGGTGAGAGAGTAAAATCACCGTAGTAACAAATGTCATACTACGCATGTAACACATAAAAGTATAATAAAGTTGTGAGATGTCTGCGAAGTTGCGAAGGTTACTTAAAATGATTTGAGAGTAAGTAACTATAAATGCAAGCCTGGAAACGTCCGACTTCTTATTGATGCTGTTGGGGTTATTTTTAATGTGGACCATTTCAAAAAAAATCTTACTTTTCTGGTAACTAACAGCTACATCCGGTACTCCTACATTATCAAAGTCAAAACGATGTCCCTGTTGTGAGGAATGTAGTGCTAAGGCACATCTGTCAGGGCGAAGTCTAACATCGCTCTTATGAAAAGTTATTCTTCTTTTAATGGTCTGAGAAGTTTGACCTATATAAACTCCTTCTCAATCTAAGTAAGGAACACTGTAAATGCAGTCTGATGTTAAAGATGGAGGTATTTTATGTTTGAGTCTTGTGAAAATACTTCTGCCAGTGATGAAGTTGTATTTGGCAACTTTTAGCTCATCTATTTAACCGAAAATGTAACATAGTTTTGCCGTGGGCTAAGGGAAATGAGGCAAAGATCTGTATCTAACTAATGGAGCTTTTGTGTCCATGTTAGGGTCTATATCAAGGTTTGTTGTAGAGGTGAGAGGCGGTGGTCTAATGACTGAAATACATAAAAACTTTTCCACGAGTGTTCATGGATATCCATTTGTGACCAAGATGACTTCCAGACGTGACAGTGAGCTCTGACAGTAATTCTTGTGTACAATGTTTATAATTCTGTTTTTCAGTTGATTGATGATGTTCAGCTTCATGTTTACATTGTGGTAAGATCGGAAGTGCAGATATCTACCAGAGGAAGACGGCTTCTGATACCAATCCAACTTGATGATATTGCCCTCGGACCAAACCACTCTGGTATCCAAAAACGGTACAGATCCATTTGTCTCCATCTCTACAGTGAACTTAATGTGCTCATCATAAGAGCAAAAACAATAACAATTTCCCTTATTCCAACTTGGAGTAGACAGAGGATGAGGTCATCTACATATTGATATAAGAAATGTAAATTAAACGTCAAATTAAATGTCAAATTTGAAACTTTTATTAGCCTCTTCTTTTGCCTATAACCCACAACAATTGTATTTAAATTTCCAGGTAATACTCCTTTTCATTAGTATATATATATATATATATATATATATATATATATATATATATATATATATATATATATATATAAAATCTCGAATAATAAATAACACGAGTGTTGAAACCACTGGAGTTCATATCGTTTGAACAGTTTCGCCTAATAATATGCCTAATTTGTTATATTCCCATATGCAAACATTAAAATGAATATTTACGACCAAGATTAGAAAAAGTGTTTCAAATTCAAATGTTTTATTAACAACAATACTATACCGATGAAAGAAGAGAGCTCTAGAACTAATAATAAAAAATATAAAAAGAAAATTGTGCGCACATGTAATCAACATGATATATTGTTTCAGTTCAAGATAGATTTATGACTGTGTCACGTGAAAAAGTCTACCTTTTCGACCATTATATATGTTGAGAGTTATTTTTCACATAACTCAAGCAAATCCAAGGGCCTTAAAATATCTTTTCCTTTTTTCCTGAAATAGGTATTTTCTTATGCGAAGCCATATATCAATTTGAGAGGCGAGAACAACGCTTTATTTCGATACATTTTCATCTGATTACTGACGGAAAAGCGCCAGTTCGAACGAAAACCACTTTTCATCATATTGTAATAGATGGAAAAACAGGGTTACAAATTGGTGCATGAAATTCAAACATGCAATTTTAAGAGCTGTCAATACTTCGACAATTCTCAACAGTTTGGTTGAAGAAATAAATTCACGAATGTGTAGAATAAATTAGAGGTATATGTCCTAATCGAATGTTTTTATTTCGTCAGAGGTATAAACTCAACAAAATATTTTTATAATTGATGAAAGTATAATGGAGTTTCATGAAGTTGAAATTTCAAGAATTCTCTCTGATATAAATGATATACAAGTCGTCTCTATGGCTTAGTCGGAGAGTGACGGACTCTCACTAGGGAGATATCCTAGGAAAATAGGGTTCGTATCCCGGGTGGAGACATGGACGTTCGTGTAGATAAAATGAGTTTCAGCGGTTATATAAATGAGTGATACAATGGGTAATGTCCGAAGATGACGAATCCCAAAAAAACAAATAAAAAAAATTGATATAATCCTCCTTCTTTTTGCTTCACCACAGTTTTCCAAAGTCATATCATAATCGATGGCTCATCATGCTTATGATGTAAATTTGAATGAATTTAAACCTTGAAATTTTCCTTTCAACAGAAGCTATAGAAAATAAACAAAACTGAGATTATTCTGCTTGCTATGCAAATATTTCCATATATTTTTTGAATAATCTTCTGAAGTATACCAAATAAGTGTTTCTGAATTGTTGTCAGGGATCAAAATTGAAAGCTGGTATTCTTCATAGTCTTAATAGAGCTGTATGTAAATACGGTTCAGCTGTTTATGATACTTCATCGTTTTCGTTTAAAAAATACCTATATTGTTATCTCTGATTCGAGGAATAAAATATTTCATGGAATTTTACGCACAAAATAATTACCAATGAGAGGCTATAACATGGAAAAAGTATTCGAATGCTGAGGTTAAATGCTTTAATGCTGAAAGTAGGTTGGCTAATAATTCCATACGGACGCAGGAAAGATGCAAAGTGTGAATTGGCTCTTGAATACCAAACTCCACAAGTTACTCTTGAGAGGTTTTACAAGCTGTAAGGCGAAAGATAGTTACCGATAGCGTGGATATCTAGCTCCTTGACTGTAAAAGATCCTACTTTCATAAGTAGCATCCCCCGCACTTGGATGTAGACGTTGGTACTTGTTTCGAACTTGTTGGTTATTGTCGAAACATTGTAATGAAGAAATTACAATTTGTAGCTTCTGAACGTTTTCTCTGGTTTGGAATTCTGGATAATTGCTTTGCCAAAGTGTGTTTTCTCAACGAAATGCCTAACCGATAATTTCAAACAACACTAAGATGTTGAACAAAGGAAGAATTATGAAGACAAGACCAGAAGATCACGGTTCAACGCGCACTTGGATACAGCCATAGGAATTTGTTTAGAAATTGTTGGCACTCATCAGATCGGTATCAGAAGATTGATATACACGAAACTCGAGGTGATAAAATAAAGACTCCTGAAATCTAAAACAGACGAGATAGAAATATACTGTTAGGTCATATGCATATATAATGCATAGATTAGATACTATTCATCTCAAATCATAGGAATAAATAGAAAGCACATGTATATGAGTACATCTAGCATTGGAAGTTTCATAATTTCATATCAATTAAGATACTACCTTCCAGTAAAATGTAGAATCTCAATCAATAAGGACGTGTGAAACTTTCAATACAAGATGTATTCATGTGCTTAATATTGATTCCTAAGATTTGGGATGTAGAGTAATGTACCTATATTATAATGTATCTATAATTCATCTATGAATTATCTATGCATACTACTTAGCAGTATATTTCTGTCCTATAATTCATAAGAGGATATTTGTATATTGAAGTCGATGTCTTTCGTTTGTAGCACGTGACGTAACTGAAGAGTAACTTGTAGTGCGAAACATTGAACTGTCTTGCGTTTCCAATAAATGTGGACACCTACCTCAATATTCTTTGAGATACTTCAATATCCCTTGAATGAAAATGGATACATCACATTGTTCATGTTTCACATAGCTACCTCTGCCATCATATTATTTTGAATAATTCTTCAAAAAATTATCGAAAAAAATTTATATAACTTCTAATACTGAATATTCACTAGTGCGATGAAATGAGTACGATAACTACAGAATATTTTTTCTGTAGTGGATTTCACATATATACGTATATATATATATATATATATATATATATATATATATATATATATATATATATATATATATATATATATATATATATATATTCGAGCTTATTGAGTTTCCATTGTAAAAGCGTAGCCAAGTTTAAGTTGTACGAACCTGGAGATGGAAAAACAAGAGAAATAGAGGTTCCTCTAACGGAAGTCGACATATTTCAGGATACTTCACCAGATTTGATAGGTACTTCAGGCAGGTTTTTGACTCACCAGGTTGGAAGAATTGACCAAACTACTTCGCCCTTGAGAGTACAAACGCAGTAGTCTGAAGTGTGTCGACTTCCTTCAGAGGAATATCTATTCTTCGTTAAGTTTCCAGCTCCAGATTCGTATAACTTGAAATTGGCTACTCCTTTCTGAGGAAAGCCATCAAACTCGAATCACTGTTTAACTTTCAACGGCTGCTACCAATTGCTACCAATATCCGATAATGTTCACTTCTGTTCAAATTTTCCCTTGAATCGAACATATTCTATAAATATATGAAAAAAAATTTGTTTCTATATAGTTGCTATTGTCAAAATAATTATTGAAAATCGTTATGTAAAAAAAGGGTATTTAATTAGGGGTAATATTTTTATATTTGTATTTATTTCGCTAAAAATCAACTCTAGGTTTCGAAGTAATTTTTTATATCGCATCCCCCTTACCAAAGTAAGAAAAACCGACTTGAATTGTTTTAAAATTTCTTGAAGAAAAAAATGAAAAAATTGAGGAAGAAACTTTTGAGAAGAGTTTGAAATTGAATAAAATCAACTTCATTCAGTGTCGAACTGATCCTCTAAAGGCAAGTCGAGAAAGCTGCTGGAGCAGATTTTCTATATGAACCCAACAAAACCCTTCAAGCAAAGATTTTGCTTAAACTTTTTATGGATATTTTCGAAGTAAAACTTCCTTATGCGCAACTAAGGTCCAATTTAAAGATATCAATGACGACAACGCAACGGAAACGCGTAATAGTGGTGACACATAAGTTAACAGCTGATAGTGCAACATCAACAGAAATATTTCATAATCCAACCACCATGCAAAAGATAGTGTCAACATTACAAAAATTCGATCCGATTTTGCAAATATATGATATTGTTATTGTGGTATTTCAATATACAACATCTTTTTTAGATTACCATTGCTCTTTATATTTATAGAAACGAAGCTGTGTCAAATATTAGAGAATTAATTCATCAGTGATTATTAACACCATTTTATTATTAAAGATTCAAGTCTTTCAGATACCAATCAGCATGAGTAAACAATGATTCTTGCAGGAGATTTCAATGTTATTTAACTTCAGTGGAATCCCAACCTGCGATTGATTTCTGGCAAGATAAACTCAATTAACGCTGAAAAATTCTCCTGTTCGTTCTTTGGTCCAGATCAGTTGTCACGAGAAATTTAAAAAATTTGCAAAGGAGAGTTTATGTTTCTAATTCCAGTGATAATTAAACTAAAGAATTCGGATTCATAATGCTTTAAAAAAATAAGTGTATTTTTACTATTGTTATATCAACAATAAAAATACTTTAAGGTTTCTACATGACTTATTTGATTCATTTGAATTTAATAAATATTATATAATATTGAAGATTTTTATTTCAAATTTATATAAATGTTAGGCGCAAAGTTTCTTAAATAGTTTTCTAGTTATCAAATTGAAAGTTTTTTATAGAAATTCTTGAATCATTCGTTTATCAGATAGAAAGTATTAATTTAAGTATTATTTCGATAGAAAGTTATCTTAATTGTGAAAGTATCTTCAGTTCATATGGGATGAAATTCATTGGGGTGTATTCAAATCAAGAAATACAAAGTTCAACTTTTTGACCTAACAACCTTCCTGTGGTCCTTGCGGAAATGACAGCAGAATTCCAAACCGTCTTCAAAACGCGTCTGACGGAGTTTCTCCCGGTGGGCGTGGTTCCCGTCCCCATGACGACCATGGTTAGAGGGTAGCGTAAACTGAATGACGACAGTGTCGCCACAGCTTTCCTACCGTAAGTAACTAGGTTCATTCGGTTGTCTCTTCGCTCTTAACGATATCCAATAACATACTACACGTGAACACAACTAGTGAACAACTACTTCGGACGCATCCGAGCAACATATGGTCACTCTTTTCTTCTTCGCCTAAGTAAGTTTGACGTTCTATCGATGTTTCTTTTCATTTTGACAGGCCAAAGTTGAGGAGGTAACAGGTGGCAATTTTTAAGCTTGAGGATTAATCCGTTTTATTCGGTTGACGTTCGTAGCGCAACAAATATTTTAATCTCATTAATTTGCGTGTTTGCTGTTGGAAACAATTTTGGTGAACTTAATGGAAAAAGATTAATTCTAAACTAAGCCACCGGAGAGAAGTCCTTTGTTCATTTCGAAAGAATTGTGAGTCGACCGGACTTAATCAATCAGCTGGTTCTTGGGAATTTATCGATTGAATATTTCAAAGTAAACTTAAAAAGTTTTGGTTCGTCCAAAATGAATGCCATGAATTCTTAATAATAGTTATTATAACAATCACATCAGCTTATAATTGAAGAATATATGGAACAAATCATCACTATTCATATTTCGCAACAAGAATGAAAACAGATGAAAGACCAAATGAAATTGTTCACTGTTTATTGGTTGTATGAAGTTATAATGATTATGTAGAGCTACCTCATCATAATCTACACTTCATCACACTTCCATGATTCCAAGTGACACAATAGTGTTATTGCAGAATATTAAACCACATAATTTAAGACTCCGTGAAGTGACCTTAAAATAAATCATCACAAATTATTCGTGTTGATTTGAGTTAATTAGTTCAGTTCGAAATTATTGCACAAATCAATAGCAATTTAATAACTATTCTTCAAGTTCAGTGAGTAGAAAGTAAATGATGAAGCAAAAGTATGAGAAAAATTTCATGAATGGGAATTAATATTGTGTGTAATTATGTTATTACTGTTTTTTTTTCCGATAGATTATGTTCATAAATATGAAATTGCACCTAAAACATAGATATTATATATACATGTATATTTTCAAAGGGAATGAGTTGTTATAATTTTACAATGAATCATTAAAATCATTTAATGTTCTACAATTCAAATGATGAGATTCAATTTGAAATTAAAGAGGTTTTCAAAATGGCGAATGCGCTGGGCAATGCA